GGGCCCAGAGAAGTGTCTACCCAAAGAGCAAGACAAGAGACTGAGAAGATGCCACAGTGACCAGGGCACTTTTCTGCCCATCTCCAGCACAGAATGAAGCTTCAGGATGCGCTAAGCCAAGGGACGGGGATATTGAAACTCTGATGACCCAGCCCCTGTGGAGACACTCTTCCCACCCCTTTCTGAAACCCGAGTTCCCATGTCCGTCAGCAAGAATTGGGGCCTCACAATCCCAGGACATACTCAGAGGGCTGGGAATAACACCTGGATGCATGGACCATTCTGAGCTTGATTTGCTAAGAACTCCCATGCTACATGGGGCTGGGGACAAGGAACGCTGCAGGTGTTTATATAGAAAAAGACAGGATGGTTTCAGGCCAAGTTTGAGTTCTCAAGAACCAGTAGTGAAGTGAACACTTAAGGTTTGTGTTGGTGGAATTACAATATCTGGAGCAGGGCATTGACTTGTGGAAGGCAAGTGAAGGTCAGCCCTGAGTGCTCTTTTCTTTCTTTTTTTTTTTTAAATTAATTAATTAATTTAAACAATGTTCTGTCTGTATGCCTGCAGGCCAGAAGAGGGCGCCAGACCTCATTACAGATGGTTGTGAGCCACCATGTGGTTGCTGGGAATTGAACTCAGGACCTTTGGAAGAGCAGGCAATGCTCTTAACCACTGAACCATCTCTCCAGCCCCCTGGGTGCTCTTTTTCAAGCAGGGTGCAGACAGTAGCTCAGGAGGCATGCTGGGAGGAGTCAAATGCGGTGATGATGGACAAGGAGGTGATGAAAACAAGCCAGTCACTCTCCATCTACTGAACACGTGACTACAAGCCAGTTGCTTGGTTAATACTGGGGGGACATTTTCTTATTTGACTCTGGCAATAATTCCTGGAGGGAGGAACTGCCATTATCCCTATGCGGCTGATGAAGAAAAAGTGGTCAGAAGGTGAAGGGTAAAGGGACCATGGCAGGCACACATGCTGGCATTCTAGCTGGTTGTGACGGCTAATCCTCTCTCTCTCTCTCTCTCTCTCT